GACCTCCTGGTGGCCCTGGAGAAGTGCCCCAGTCTGTTCCCGTTCAGCTCATCCTTAGGGTTTGAATTTTTCTCATTGCTCCTAAGCAGTGAGACACTGAATATATTCAGTCTGTTGCTTTTGGAGCAGTGGATATGTTGTGTTGTGGACTTACTACTACTTGTGTCCAGAGTGAGAGTTTTCACCCCAGGCAGATCCTGCTCCTGGCAGGGAGCTCAGCGTTTCGCTCGGATTAATTATTCCCCGCCCTAGTTTCATCCCCTCTCCTCTCTTGCTAGGCAGTAACCCCTCCCCTCCTGGCGTCCACATACCTCGAATATTTGCAGCTGGTTTGTTTTGTCCTGAGTCACCGCCTGCCTCTGCTGGGCCCTGAGCCTGGGGCTGGAGTCTCACAGGCGGGTGCAGCTCCGCTCGGAGGCTGGTGCCGAGCGAGCCTGCGCAGGGCTCGTCCTCGGTGCTGAGGCTCCTTGGGCTTGGCTTAGGAGGCACGGGCAGAGGCCGAGGTTGCCCAGTCACAGCCGTAGCTACCGATGGACAGCACATCCCTCTCCGGACAGGGTTAGCAGCCTGGGCCCTCGAGGCTGCACCACGGGAGCACGCGGTGACGGGGGATGCTGGCAGGTGAGCCCTAGAAAGGAGAAGTGGGGAGGCGATGTGGCCCTCTGGGAGAGCTGCCGGGCCCTGCGGGATGGATGCAAATCCTGCTGGGTCTGTGCTCGTGGATTAACTCTGCTCACAAAGTGGGGCAGGGAGCTAAGCTCTTAGCTGTGCCTGTGCTCACACTGGGAGCTCGGTTGTAAGAACTGGACGTTTTCTTGGGTTGGAAGAATGTCAACAAAAGTGGCATTTCTGAGACTGAGCAGCCTGAGCCGTGTGATTGCAGTATTAAAAACATGATCTCCACGGGAAGGGCAGAGGTGGGAGTGTGCTCCACCTCGACACCTCGCTGCGTGTTTGCCAGCAGATGTGTTACACATTGCCCTTGGGCCTTATGTGCACCAGCAGGTGGATCAGCAAGGCTCAGAAGCAGGAGCAACTGGGAGACTGCCGCAGGCTGCCAAAGCGTACAAAGAGAGCTCGTTTGTCACAAATAGCCCAAAAGGGACAGAGAAAAAAAAATGTTGTTAGGGATTTTCCTTTGGAGATCCATGTTTCAGAGCTCATGCTGAGAGCTGGAAGAGAACAAAATTAGAGTCTCTAAACGTTGTGATTGAGAACACTGTTTTTGGAAGAGTATTTCTGAATGCCCTTTTGGCATCTGTATAGTGGGTAAACATGAATTTGTCACTGGACTGGAATTTGGTGGCTTCATTAGAAATACCAGTAGCATTCCTGCAGAGTAACGGAGACCAATCCAGCTGTGGTGTGTGTCTCGGGGCCTCCAGAACTGATGGCTTGGGTAGAGCGCTAACATTTAAATGGGAATTTGTTAAAAAAGTATTTATTAGATGACCAAAACCCACAGCTATGAAAGAGGGTGAGTTTAGTTAAAAGCTTAATAAGCCTCATTTAGGGAATACTGCAATTAGACATATATGTAAATGTAACAAGTAAGGAAAAAGAAAATGGCAGCAATCAAAAGAGATGGTATAAAATACAAAAAGAAGAGTTTTTAAGTACTGACAAGTCCTGCAAATTGTCCGCATCAATCAGGTGGGAGTGCCAAGTATTAAAAAAAAAATCTGTATTTGTATTTTTTGAGCTCTGAGTGTTTGGAAAGAAGCAGGATGGCATTTTGAGTTCATGGCTGAAGGAGGATGCTGGGCTGGTGATAAATAGCAAGAGTCATAAGAGCCGTCCTCTGCAGCTGCCTTGTTTTTAAATAAATCTTGAAGTATTCAGAAAGGGCAAGAAGGCCAGAGGGGAATTAATTTGTTTGAGTATTCGGAAATCACAGGCACAATAATGGAAACACTGACACAGTTTAAGTGGGTGGAACTGGCATGCAGCATCGTGCCAGGTCAGGCAAGCTGCACTAATGACCATTATGGGTTTAAAACTTGTGCAGGAAAGGTTTTAATTTTCCTTCCCCGGGCAGGCTTTTGAGACTTGCAGAGGAAAGGTGTTGTGGAGCTGGAAATCTCAGGAGTGTCAGCCAAAGCCTTGCCTCAGGGCACCTGATTGAGGTTTTTGTGCTTGGGGTTTGCTCACTGGAGCGTGGGGAGCAGCCGTGGTGCTGGGGATCCCCGGCTCCACTCCGGTGGTCTGAAGTGGGTGCAGAGGCGTGGGTGCAGAGAGGACATTGCCCTGCTTAGGGCAGGGCTGTGCAAGGCAGGGCTGGCAGAAGAGGTGCCTGCTGCTTCTCCCTTAGCTCTCCAGCACGGAGCTGTTGGAAATGCCAGGAGCTAGGATCCAAGGACCTGGTTTACCCACAAGATCTTCCTTGCAATCAGACTTATTCCCACCAGATAGCTACAGCTGAATGAGGGAGCACAGCAGGATTGTTAGGCAATGTGGTAAAGTCCGAGATTTCCTGTGCAAAGTTCAGGCAGGGTGGTTGTCACTTTGCATGTGGATAAATGCAAAATTCAAATCTTTGGCCGCTGGAAATTTAATCTTTCCCTTTTGAGCTTGAATCAAATTTATTTCTCCCAGGAGCTGGATTTGATGATCCTTGTTGGTCCCTTCCAGCTCGGGATATTCATGGGTCATTTCTGGCTGTTGTTGAATACAGGCTCAGTTTCAGGACTTCCCGTGGCCACCCCATGCTTTGTCAGCTCATTCAGGACGGGTGGTATCAGCTCACACGCCCACCTTGCCTTGGTTTCACTCACCTGTTTGCATTTCAGTTAACACCTTCCTGCTTCTTCCATGTTGCCCTGCCACTTGAGTTTGCTTTCCTGGAAAACAAATGACATTCCTTTAGAAGAAAAAAAAAAAATCCGTCTTTAAAATAACTCATTTATTGTTTCTATTTCACTACTGCTTGTGAGCTTCTAGCTGCAGAGAGCTGCTGGACATTTTCAGAGTGTTTCTTTGTCCTTTTGTTGTCTGGTGTTGGGTTCAGACTTCGAGCGCCGTGGCCCTGCAGGACACCTTTGTGGTGTGTTTGCAGAGGACCTTGCAGGGTAGGGCCTGGTCTGTAGCTGAGGCTTTCCAGATGCTTTGCAAATGCAAACAGTGAGTAAATATAAAACCTGGTGTCTGCTCCCCATCCCTCCTCACAGGCTTCTGCTGCATTTGGTTTGATAAAGCTGGCTGGGGAAGTCAAGGCAGCCATCGGTTTAGGTGATTCAATTTCCCATCCCGCTTTCACACCACTGCTGGATACTGCGGTTACCCTGTGGGGCCCGGCAGCCCCAGCACCTGGAGGTGGGGAGCACTGGGGTCTGCAGGGGCTGTGTGGTGGGTGCCAGACCCCCAGATAACGCGGAGCCTCCCAGGGCTGGGGCTGGTGTCAGTGCTGTTTTCCCCCCACTCTCGGCCTGCTGTTGCCTGAGGCTTGCAACAGGAGAGGTCAGGGAGGTGGGGATCTGGACGTGCCTGTCCTGCAAAAATACTTATACAAACATAAGAGCTGGGGGCCTGTCCGCAGCTCTGATAAAATCCCAGTGAAATGCAGCAGCTGGCGATGCGTGGGAGACAGCTGGAGCTGGGGAGCATTTGTCAAATCAGCTAATTGCCGAAAACCACGGATCTGAGGCAGGCCAGGCTGTGCTGCAAGGGGCTGCGGGCCCCATGGGTGCCAGTTCTGCAAAGCAGCAATTAGATGAAGGAGAGCTGAGTTTTGGGGCCAGAGCCTGGCTGGGAGGGCTCGCCAGCTGAGTTTGGGCCATGCTTTTGCCGTGTTTCTGTCTGGGGGGGGCACCTGGTGTAGCAGCAGGCAGGTGGGTACCGAGTTGCTGGGGCCCAGGAATCCGCTGAGATAAAATGTCTGAACCTGAATGAAAATGGGAGGGGGCCTGGGCTGGCGGGGGAGCCGCAGGTGGGACCGAAAACCAGGAGGAAAACCAGAAGCCTGTGCCTGGGATAGGGAAGAGGAGGAGGGTGGCGAGCCCCCAGACGTGGGGCTCCCTGCACAGCGCTCCCCGTGTCGCACACCAGCAGTTTGCCACAGTCTCTTGTGGGGAGACTCTGAGGGGACGGTGGGCCTGGGCATGGGGCACATCCCCGGGCTGTGCTGGGGGCACTGGGCCTTCCCTGGCCTGGCACCCACCCGTGTCATTGTGGGGTGCATGCGGCTGCCCCATTCCTCTGCCCCATGCAGCCCACGTTGTCCCCCCACCACCTGCAGCTTCGCCAGGGCTCGGCCTTGGTGCCAGCTGTGGGTCCTGACCACCTCGGTCGCACCCCAGCAAGGCTTTCCTGGCCTCGCACGAGTGCTTCTCCTCACGGTCCAGCTCCAGGCTTTGCCGCCGGCAGCCCCATTGTGGGTGCCTGGAGGCCTTTTCGGCTATTCAGATGGAAATGGCCTGGAGCTGGAGAATGGGGACCCTGTTCCCAGCCCCAGGGGAGGGGACAGCCGCCATGGCCAGGCTGCCATAGCCAGCCCCCAGCCGGCCGCTCCTCTGCTAGGGTGAGGAGGAGAGCAGGGCTCAGCCCCACCGAGAGTTTGCTGAGTTGGGGGCAGAGGTAAGAGAGGGCTGTGCGTCGGGATACCAGGGCCCAGCTGGCGTCATGGGCCTGGGGCAGGTTTGCGTGGCTTGCAGTCTGCTGGCCCCCATGCCAGGAGCAGCAGGGAAGTGGCCGGTGCATATTTGGATTACCACAACTGAAGATTTGGCATGGGGTGGGCAGGGACAGGCTCTGCAAGCTGTCCCTGTGCTGCAGCGCTCAGCACTGTGTCCCCAGTACAGCGGTACTGGTGCTGTGAGGGCTGGTGGTGGAGGCAGGCTGTGGGAGCAGCTGTGGGCAACCTGCTGGCCCTGCTCTAACCATCGTGTTTGGCAGACTCACAGGTTGTGGGCACAGTTCAGCTGCTGCTTGTCTCCTGGCCTTGCCCAGCAAGGGTCAGGCCAGGTATTGCTGGAGGATGCTGATCGTGCTTGTCTGTCTTGCAGAGATGACCCTCCTGTCCTCCCAGACACCCTCCCTGGAGACGTCCTCAGCTGCCACCGAGAGCCCAGAGCACAGGATGCTGGAGAAGAGGTCCAAGGTTATTGAGGAACTGCTCCAGACAGAGAGGGACTACATCCGAGACCTGGAGATGTGCGTGGAGAGGATCATGGTGCCCCTGCAGCAGGCACAGGTAGGAGTGTGGGGGCAGGCTACAGTGTGGCACTGACGGGGTGGGGTGAGGATAGTGAGTCTGCTTTGTTCTTGGAGCAGCAAAGGAACCCACAGGGGAAATTCAGATATGCTGGGGGCAGCAGGGTGATTCATGTTGCTCCTTGCGCTCATAGAAATATCCCATTTGTTTTGGTATCCTGCTGAGCTCCCACTGTTGCTGAGAGCAAGAAAGCTAGCAGCAAGTATCACAGATTAATTTCCTGGGTAGAGCGGGGAACTGTTCTCTTCATTTCTATTGTAGGTTAAATCCATTGACATGAGAAAGAAAATATGGGGTCCTGGCACTGTGACAGAATTGGTGGGAAGAGAGGGAGAATGTCAGGTGAACAAAGGCAGGGATGAAACTGCTGGGAAAGAGGAGTGGTGGTACGCATAAGGAGGGAGAATTTCAATGCACAGTGAGGACGAGGGAGTGAGTACAGTCACTGTGATGGGAGCACGCCAAGCTGAGGGGCTGATGGGGAGCTGAGGGCTGGTGGGTTGCAGGAGGGCAAGGGGTGGCTGTTGGGTCTGGCTGGGTCATGTTCTCCCATCCAGGACATCTCTCTTTCCATTCCCCAGGTGCAGAATGTAGACTTTGAGGGTCTTTTTGGAAATATCCAAGTGGTGATAAGCTTCTCTAAGCAGCTGCTGTCCACCTTGGAGGCTTCAGATGCCATTGGTATGAACTCTGCTGTTGCCTTTTCTCAGCAGGCCGGGACGTGATTTGCTAGTGGGGTTGCAGAACAGAGCAGTTTAAATCATGGGAGCATTTCCTCCCTGCTGGTCCCTGTCGGTGCTTATCAGTCCACTGGTGAAGCTGTGAAGACCTGTGTTGCCCCATGGGTCACTATGTTGAGAAATGAGGGCTGGCTATGGCTCCCCCTGGCTCCTTCCCTAAAGAGGGCCCCACTCCTCACACCTGCACAGGCAACTCAGGCCCTGGGCAGCCTGTGCCTTTGTTCCCCGTGTGGCTCTCCACTGCCACTGACCAGTCACCCCCTGGAGAGATGGATCAGTTGAGGTCTCTCTGCCTGTGGTTCCTGGGGTCCCTCTGGGGCTCTTCAGCTAGGGAAACAGTCCCCGCAGAGCCTGAGTGAACATGTCCTGGTGAGTTATCACGACATGCCCTTGGTGCACAGCTTCCAATTTCTGTCCCCAGTTGCCCAAACCACCCTGGTCTGTAGTGACAGTGAAAGCAGGCAGGATGTGTGGGCATGCTGAGGGTGACAAGGATGCATCCTGGGTGCTCCTGTAATGATGTCCTCTCAAGCTGTGTGTGGAAGGGGGACACAGAGTGTCTCACCATGAATTCAGCGTGGTTGTGGAAGGCAAGGGGGGCCTGGAGACACTGACATCCCACTTTACTGCTGTGTGCAGGGCCGGTGTTCCTGGCACAGCGTGCAGAACTGGAGAGTGTCTACAGGGTGTATTGCCAGAACCATGACGAGGCCATTGCACTGCTGGAAACTTACGAGAAGGATGAGAAGATCCAGAAACTACTCGTGGACCTGCTGGATAGCCTCAGGTTGGAGCCTTCCGCGGTGGTGGCCATCAGGCTGGGGTAGGGGGTTCACTCCCCAGCGTCCCTACCCGTCTGCCCCAACGCACAGGGGTTGGGACGCCTACCTGTAGGGCCACCAAAGTAGGGAGAAGGCAGCATGCCCTGGGTTTAAGGTTCTTATTCCCCAAGCCCTGCACCACCATGGCTGGTGAAGAAATGAGCCACTTTGCCTGCCTTGGCATCTGCCACGTCTCCAGCTGCCACGGGTCAGAGCTGCCATGGCAGCGTCACTGTCACTGCGGGAGGGAGCTGGCTGTGGGAGTGCACGCCTGCTGCACCGTTAACCTGTTGCTTTTCTTTGCTTTTTGGCACTCTGTGGGCCGGCAGGAGCCTGTACAGTGAGTGGTAAGTGCCTCCTTCCTGTTAGTCCCCGCTTGTCCGTCTGTCTTGGCCTGGCTGCTCCCTTGTGACTCACCTCCCGCCACCAGCTGGGCGCATGTCTGGGGGTCCTGCCTGCGGCACGGTCGCAGCAGTGGCAACGGGTGGGCTGCACAGGCAGGTGGTGAGGCGAGGGGAGGTCTTTTGGGCTGAAAACAGGTTTGGGGAGCCATCAGCTCCAGGGAGGCAGGAGAGCCCCGTGCTGGCTGCAGTCCTGAGCACAGTCTGCCTTGCGCTGCAGGCCAGATCCAGCAGTAGGGTGGTGGGATGGAGTCTGAGGCAGGTGGAGCTCTGGTACATTCAAGGCTGGACCCCCTGTGGGGTCCCACAGTGGGTCTGGTGATGGCTGAGAAGGGTCCTGGCTGAGAAGAGTCACCTGGTTTGAGTGAGGTCTGGAAACCTGGGGCTGATCTGAAATCACTGCGGGTTCAGGAGCGCAGTGGGTTTGGAGGTGAGGGTGGCCTGAGTTAGGAAGTGCAGTGGATTTGGAGGTGTTGGTCCTCTGGGTCTGGCTGGGGTCAGTTCAAGGGGGCAGAGCTGGACTGAAACCTGTTGCATCTTCTTTGTCCCAACTTCCCAGGGGCTGCACAAACTACATTAACCTGGGCTCCTTCCTCATCAAGCCAGTGCAAAGGGTGATGCGGTACCCGCTGCTGCTGATGGAGCTGCTGAGTGCCACCCCTGAGTCTCACCCTGACAAGGCTCCGCTCACAGCTGCTCTCCTTGCAGTCAAAGAAATCAACGTCAACATCAACGAGTACAAGCGTCGGAAGGACCTGGGTGAGTAGCTGGGTAAAGCTGGGGTCAGAGTGGGTGAAGTTGGAGTCTGTCAACTGCACAGTCCTGGAGGGAATCTGACCTCAATAAACTGCACCCTCACAGCAGTGCCATAAGAGAGCTGCTTTTAAAAATCTAAGCATGAGATACAGTATGCAAAGAATAACATAGTATGCATCTGACATACTTCTTGTGATACAGTGATGTGAAATGTATGCAGTTGCTGAATACATAGCCGTGAAATGAAAACAAGAACGATAAGATGAGAATATATATTTAATGTTAACATTGTGCTGATAAGGGTTCTGATTTCTGCTTCAATCTCTCTAGTGCTGAAGTACCGGAAAGGGGATGAAGATAGCCTCATGGAAAAGATCTCCAAGCTCAACTTCCACTCTATCATCAAGAAATCCAACCGTGTGAGCAGCCACCTCAAGCATCTCACGGGCTTTGCGCCCCAGGTAATTTGCATCACCTGGCAGATACACTTACACCCTGTGGTGCCCAAGGAGGTGGTGATACCTGCTGACTCCCCTGCATCCCTTCCCCAGGGAATAGTTCTCATCCAGGCCAGCAAGGCAGAGTGAGCTTAGGGTTTGAACCATCCGTCTCTGCTCCCTGGTTTGTGGGCAGGAGGCCCCACATCTCCCACTCTGGGAGGTGCCAGACTCCTGCATTGCCTCCCTTGAGCTCTTTTCTCCCACAGCTGAAGGATGAAGCCTTTGAGGAGACAGAGAAAAATTTTCGGATGCAAGAGAGGCTAATCAAGTCCTTCATCAGAGACCTTTCACTCTACCTGCAGCACGTCCGGGTGAGTCTGGGTGTGATGTGGGGCTTGCCACGTGCTGCCCCTCCTGCCTGCATGGTGCGTACCTGCAGTGCCACTTGGCAATGCTTCTGCCCTCAGCCCTGCCTGGGGGTTGGCCCCTGGGGGTCTGGGCTGCCCTGGGAGCCCTGTTCCCCTGGGTGGTATGCGTGGCTGTGCTGACTGCATGTCCCTGGTGCAGGAGTCAGCCTGCATGAAGGCGCTGGCAGCGGTCAGCATGTGGGACCTGTGCACGGAGAAAGGCAGCGGGGACTTGGACCAGTTCCAGAAAGTGAACCGGCTCATCAGCGACCAGCTCTTCTCCAACTTTGTGAGTGAGCCTGTGCCCTCACGTGCTGCAGGCACTCCTCTGGGGCTCTCCCACCCGTGGGTGGCTGCACGGGTAACGCAGCCCAAAATAGGTGTGAGCACCCCCATTCAGCTCCTGCCTCCTGAGAGCTTTGATGGCTGTGGGTTGAGGTTGTGCCTTGAGCATGCCTGTTAGGCACACATTTTTTTCAGCCCTGCCAGAAGTGTAACATCCTTCCTCTAGCATTTTCCATGCTAGCACATTTATGTAGGATTATTGTGTACTATGTGCTAGAAGGGATCTCTGGAACTCTGGTAGGGTGCCATCAGGAAGGTGGACCCTGTGCTGTCCTGGGGAGGTTGTGTAGCAGAGGGTGAGCAGCTGGTGTTAGAGGCATGTCAGGAGAGAGCACCTCATCTCACCTGCTCCCTGCATCTCTGCCCACCAGAAAGAGCGGACGGAGCGGCTGGTGAGCTCGCCGCTGAACCAGCTGCTGAGCATGTTTGCGGGGCCTCACAAGCTGGTGCAGAAACGCTTCGACAAGCTCCTCGACTTCCACAACTGCACAGAGCGAGCGGAGAAGCTGAAGGACAAGCGAACGCTGGAGGAGCTGCAGTCAGCCCGCAACAACTACGAGGCCCTTAACGCCCAGCTCCTGGATGAGCTGCCCAAGTTCCTGTGCTTCGCCAAGGAGCTCTTTGCCAGCTGTGTGCGGGGCTACGCAGAGGCACACTGTGACTTTCGTGCGCCTGGCCCTGGAGGAGCTGAGACCCCTGCTGTCGGTGGGTTCCTGAAGCACAGACAGTGCTCCAGGCTCAGTGCAGCACTAACCTCTGCACAGGGCTTGTCCCCAAGCTTTCCCTTACTGCAGGGGAAGCTGCTGCTGCTGTTTCAGTCCCTAAGTGCCTCAGGGAGGGTTCCCATGGGATCCTGTCAGGGCAGGAGCTGCCTGATTGAGATGCAGTTGTGTGGGGAGATGGTAGAGGTGGGACTTGTGCTCTGGCTGCTTCAGGAGCAGTGGCAAGACAGCATTTGCCTGGGAGGACCTCAGGCCATAAGCCTGGGGATCAGTGCAGAGCTGTATCCAGACAGAGCTGCAGATCTGAGGCCTGATCCAAGTCACAGGCAGGGCTCAGAGACCCTTTTGACCTGGGAGTTGGCATGATCTTGCTGTAGCTTTCGGCTACTTTCAGCAGTAGCTTCCATCTAACTGTGACCTTGCTCTGGTTTCAGTTGCTGAAGGTGTCTGGCCGGGAGGGGAACCTCATTGCCGTCTTCCAGGAGGAGCACAGTCGGGTCCTCCAGCAGCTCCAGGCCTTCACCTTCTTCCCAGAGTCCCAGGCAGCTCCCAAGAAGCCTTTTGAGAGGAAGAGCATGGAGCGTCAGTCTGCCCGGCGGCAGCCGCTCGGTGCCTTGGTGAGTCCCCTCTGCCCCGTGTCAGGGCTCACCGGGGAGCCTGGGACACCGTTCATGCCTGCCTTGTTCCTCTGCAGCCCAGCTACCTCCTGCAGTCGGATGACATCCGAGCTGCCCTCCTGGCCCGTTATTCCCCCGACAGCCTCTTCCAGGCAGAGCGCAATTTCAATGCTGCCCAGGACCTGGATGTCTCGCTGCTGGAGGGAGACATCGTGGGGGTCATCAAGAAGAAGGACCCCATGGGCAGCCAGAATCGCTGGCTCATAGACAATGGGGGTAGGTGGCTGCTCCTGCCCTCGGTGCGTGCTTCGGACTCCCCTCCTCTGGTCCCCCAGGCCCCTGATCTGAGCTCCTTTCCTCTCCCTCTCCGCAGTGACCAAAGGCTTTGTGTACAGCTCCTTTCTGAAGCCCTACAACCCGCGCCGCAGCCAGTCGGACGTCTCTGTGGGCAGCCACTCTTCCAACGAGTCCGAGCACAGCAGCTCCTCCCCGCACAGCAGCACCACGCTGACCTTCAGCCCCAGCGGGGCAGCCGTGGCCTTCACTCAGAAACCCCTGCAGGACTCTGCCTCCCCAGGAGACCCGTACCAATCCCCGCAGACCCCTTCGCAGACGGACTCCCCCTCTGTGCCCCAGCTCAGCTCTGGTGACAGGACGGAGAGGCTGGAGGCTGGTGTGGTGACATCTCACGCCGCTACAGCCGCCCAGAGCCAGGCTACAGCCCTGGCCCTCGCAATGGGCACCCCGCCAAAGCGCGGCTCAGGCCTGTGTCCTCGGTGGAGGACAGAGACTCCGGGCTAGAGAGCAGCGAGCCAGAGGGCAACCAGGTGAGCTCTCAGCTGCCCAGGGGACTCGGGGTGCCGAGGGCTGACCCTCCTCTCGCTTGAGTGGAGGCTGAATCATCCTGGCCGTTATGAGGGAGAGGAGTGAGGTGGGGGTTGCTCTGTTCCAAGGGGCTGAGGAGGAGATGTGCAGAGCCACAGACCAAGGCTGTAAATGGGTGGGTGGGGGCAGCTCTGGCTGTGCCTTGATTTTCTGCAAAGCGCTGCGCACACATCCTGTGCCGTGCAGCATTGAGGTTGTGCTGAGTGCCTGTCTGACTGACGCCTCCCTCTGCCCAGCAGGTCTATTACGCGCTCTACACCTTCAAAGGCCGAAACACCAACGAGCTGAGCGTGTCAGCTAACCAGAGACTCAGGATCCTGCAGTTTGAGGACATCACAGGCAATCGAGAGTGGTGGCTGGCCGAGGCCCACGGCAAGCAGGGCTATGTGCCCTCCAGCTACATCCGGAAGACGGAGTACACGTGAGAGGGGGCAGGAGCCCCTACCCTGTGCCTTGGGACTGTCGGGGGCCCTGCAGCCTCCGCTGCTCACCCCAGGGGGCTGAGGCTGTGCCTCCTTGCAGCCCTGCAGTGCTTCCAGCCCCACCACACTGGCTGCCATGGACAGGAGGAAGTATGGGCTGGCAGGGCAGGCGGCTTGCTTGAGGGCAGGGGTGAGTTGCTGTCACCCCATGCTGTTCAAGCCTCCTGCCTCCAGCCAGGAGCAGGGGAGCAGAGCATGGGGCCATGCCCCAGGAGGGAATGACTCAACCAAGGCTGAGCTGCTGTGGATTTAAACTGTGGAAGTCTATTGCTGAGACCCTCTTTAGTGTTAAAAGCAACCTGTGAATGCATTCCCAGTGCCTTCTCGGCAGCAGCAGGAACCTGGTCTATCCTGTCAGTGCAGGACCTCAGGGTGGGACATCTGTGCTGGCCTGAGGAAGCTGCTCTGAGGATTGCTGTGAGTAGTTCAGTTTCAGAGCCCAGCCTTCAGGAGCACCCCCAGCAGCACCCCCATGGGTGCTGTGTCCATGTGCCTGGTCTCCCAGGGGCTGGGGCCTCTCTAAGCTTTTCTAGCTTAGAACTAGAAACCCCTCCTGGGGGGGTTTCCAGTCTATTGGGTTCTCAGCTCCCAGAAGAGCCATAGACCTTGAACACCATCTTCCCTTGTCAGCACAGTGTCTCCAGTGTCCAAGACCTGCCTCTTTGCTCTAGCAGGGCTGCTCTGGGGCAGGGCGGAAGGCAAAACACAGCCTGTCCTGCAGCCTCATGTTTCGGGGCTCTGACCAGGAGTGCCTCACCTGTGCCTGCTGCAGGGCACTGGTGATGGTGCTTGTGTTCTGGGAGGGATGCAGTGCCCTTTGTGGGGTGGTGTGTCTTACATGCTGCTGCCATGTCCTGAAGGAGGAAAGCTCCCTTCTCCTCGGGGCAGTGTTTGTGTCCCCTCTACTGCTGCTCTGTAAATAAACATTTGTCCCTTGTATATAAGAAGCACCTGTGCAAGTGTCAGGAGAGATGAGAGGAGCGCTTGGTGCATGCGTGGCTGTGCGAGTCGGGTGGGAGCAGAGCTCACAGACCTGGTGTGCATCTTGCAGGGCCATTTCCCTCTCAGTAGGGCACAGCATGCTTCTGCCTTGGTGTTTTGTGCCAGCTGCAGCTCAGGCACTAGTAAACCCTCCCAGCAGAGGTCATCGTGAAGATGAAGGGATTGCACTTACCTCTTCCCCTGCTGTACTGCTACATGACTCAGGTGGGGCTGAGAGGCTTGCATCCCTCCTGCTGTTTGCTCTGCTGTACCTGTGCCACTTGATTTGGACTTCCCACGATCTGTGTCTGCACAACATCAGTGTACCAGCTTCCCCCACACACTTGCCAAGCTTTAAGCTAAACCAAGGCTCATTTAGCATACCTTAACATCAGACTTTTAGTTGGAAGATGAAATGGTTACAAGAAGTAAATAAATTATAACATCTGCTCTTAGATTAAACTGTAAATTTCATTCCACAATGCTACAGCATCTCTTAGCTAAGTTCCCTTGGTACAATGAACACAAAAACTAAGACCCACAAGGGGCTGTGGTCTCCCTGCGTGATGTAACTTTCCCCTCTCTACTGCAGTAAGTTACACAGACCCTTGTGCACAGCAGGCAGAGTGTGGCAGCAAGGGTCACAGCTCAAGTCCGTATCTTCTGTCCCTGACAGCCAGAGAAGCCACTCTCTCCCTTTCACTTCTCAGCTGCAGAAACACAAATTCCCAGGCAGTCCAGCTGCAGGGAGATCCAGGTGCCAGGTTGGTGAGTCCAAGCAGGAGGGAGCTGCTCACCTGCACGCTGCTCCACTCCACTTACATCCACTCCACCTACAGCGTGGTGGTTTCAGTGTTCGTGATGCCAGCATCCTTTGCCATCGCAAAGAAGATGCCCTGCTTCTGAAGGAGCTCCTCAGGGCTGTCGTACTCCACAATCTTCCCTGCGTTCATCACCATCACCCTGGCAGCAGAGAACAAGAACACTTGAGCTCCCACAATCCGAGCCAACGGTTCTGCTGGCACCAGAACTAGAGCCCCACCAGCACACATTCCTCCTACAACCCCATTAGGTGGTTCACCTCTCAGGAGAGAGGTGAGGGCTCTCAACCCTGTGCTGGGGGATGAAATGCATGTGGTGTCAACAACCCCACTACGACCTGTTGCTGTAAAGGGTCCCAAAAATGTTACTCCCCACTAATGCATGGCCCTCCTTCCCATTCTCTGTCCTACTTTCCTGGAAGCTCTGTATATTGCTGTCCTGGGCATTGCAACCACCCCATCTTCTCTAACTACAACCTTGTGTCTGTCACTGGCATCTCCCTCCCCTTCCTAGGAGCCCTGTTCCCCGTATCCCACAGTACCTGTTGCTGTCCATGATGGTGTGGAGGCGGTGGGCGATGGTAAGGACAGTGCAGTCAGCAAACGCACTCCGGATCGTTGTCTGGATTAAGTGATCCGTCTCCAGATCTACAGCTGCCGTTGCCTCGTCCAGGATGAGGATCTTGGCTTTGCGGAGAAGGGCCCGGGCCAGGCACACGAGCTGCCTCTGCCCAACGCTGGATGAGGTGGGGAACATGAGTTACCAGGCAAACAAGTGGTGCTGAGGACCAGCAGGGCATCTGCAAGCCCACTCGCACACGCCACCCTGACCCCACCACCAGCCGGGACATGCCTCAGCTCCTCTGCTCACCTCAGGTTCTCCCCTCCCTCGCTCACAAGGTGTTGCAGCCTCTCGGGAAGTTCTTGCACATATGTCTTCAGGTGAGCCAGCTCGAGAGCCTTCCAGACCTCTTCATCAGGTGTACTGGTCAAAGGGGTCCAAGTTCATCCGCAGGGTGCCGGTAAAGAGCACGGGGTCCTGCCAGGGACAGCACAGAGTGTTCACGTCTGCCATGGCCCTTCAGCAGAGGCAATGGCTCCAGGCCTGTCTGCCCCAAGTTGGCCACAGGCTGCTCGCCCTGCTGCCTGCTCCTGGCAAGGGTGGAGGTGAGGGGATGCCCACAGGTCCTGGGCTCTCTGCAGCACCCAGGGATGGGCTGCCCAGGGCACAGAGCCAGGGGAGGCCGTGCAGCAGTGGAATGTGGCTCACCTGGGGGATGATTGTGAGGTTCTGGCGCAGGTCGTGGAGCCCGATCGTCGCGATATCCACCCCGTCAATGACGATCTTCCCTCCTGCAGCCTCCAGCACCCGGAAGAGGCAGTTGGTGAGGGAGGACTTGCCAGCCCCAGTGCGGCCCACAACACCAACCTGTGGAAGCAAATATTTAGACCTGCTGGCAGGGTTGAGGAAAACAGGGCAGGTGATCTCTTGGTGTGGTGGGCCTCCCTGCCCCTGCTCCACAGCACATCTCCCCTTCCCTCTTCACTCCTATGGGAAGGTGTGTGGAGCTGGCTCTACCTTGCAGCCCTCCAGCCCCACATCCAGTTAGGACAGGGTCTGTCTCCCCACGTCTTGGTCCTCTGTGCCATCCCCACATGCAGCTTTGCTGGCTTGTCTGCACCACGGACTGCCAGAGGGCCTGTGCTGGCTGCAGCCATGAACCTTGCTCCCCCAGCAGTGGGGCTTATGCAGGCTGAAGCCACGGAGTGTTAGTACACCCAGGCATGGCAGCAAGCATCTGCAACCACCACCTCCCAGACTACTTCCTCTGGTCCCTTCCCTGCAGCTCTGGAGTCCCCAGGAGCCACATCCACATCACCATCCCTCCCCAGTCCACAGACTGGAACAAAGAGAGCAGAACCAACAGCATCACTAGGGAAAGAAAGGGTGCACTGCAGGCAGAGAGGTCCTCACCTTCTCGGTACTCCCAATATTGCAGGTGATCCCGTGAAGAACCAGCTCCAGTTCAGGTCGGTAACGAACTTTGTAGTCAATGAACTGGATCTCGCCCTTGCTGGGCCAGCCTTGGGGAGGACGTTTTTCTGTCACCCACGCAGCCTGGGGGCACAGGAGTGTTAGGGAGCTGCACCATGCAGTCCTGGCTTGCACCGAGCTGTGCAGCCAGTGTTTGCCCACACCCTGGTCTCCTCACCTCTCTCTTCACCTTCGTGTACTCATGTACCCGTTCCACAGCCACAATGTTCGTCTCCAGCTCTGAAGACATCCGCACCAGCCAGTTCAGTGTCTGGGTCACCTGCATGGCAGCGCCAGATGACACAGAGCTTAGCAGGATTCAAGAACAACCACCTCCCACCAACAGCCGAGAGCTCACGAACACAGCCCTGGGCATGAGCATCCCTGGCAGCCCCTAACTTTCCTCTCACCAGCCACAGCCCCTTTTCCCCAGCCCTTCAAAAGCTTTGCTGAGGTGTCTCTGATCCACAGAGAATGTGCTCCTGCCCATGGCAGTGAGCATCTCCCTCACACTGGGATGTGTGCTCTCCTGGCTTCAAACTGGTTCCCAGGGATTGCCCTCCCCAGCAGGGAGACCCCAGCTAATCCCCTCCCCACGTCAGAGCTGGATGCAGCCAGCCCAGAGCCAGCAGGGTGCTGCTCCCAGAAATGGAACAGAAAAAGCCTTCATTGACTCACGTTGAGGGCGGAGGAGATAGAGAGACCCACAATGCCCCCGTCCAAAGTGCCCTTTGAAATCACAGCTAGAAGTGCAGAGAAGAAGACCACCAGGCTCCCAACGAACTCCAGACGGATGGCCAGCCACCTGCACAGGGAGAACACGGCCCAAGCATTGGGCCCACCAGTGAGACCAGCATCCCACCAGCAGCCCTGAGCTCAGCACCATACGTGTGGTACCTGCCCCTACACAGCATGTTGTTTGTGGCTAATTCTGCAAGCTCTTCCACCACATCTGGCAGTCCCTGTGTCTCACATGTAATTTCCAGTGTTGGTAATGCCATATCAGAGGAACCCCAGCTACACAAACCTCACACACCCAAAACATCTACCCAGACACACACCAGCAGCAGGCAGTGCCCCCATCACACCCTCACCTGGCCTGAAGCACCAGCCTCTTCCCAGAACCCAGCAAGAGCATCACAGTCCTCAACAGCACAGACCAACCTGTTCAGGCTCCAGATACTTTATAGGGACCATACTCTACATTTCAGAGTCACCCTAAAAGGTCTCCTTCCCACATTCAGTGGCCCTATCCCAAGCTCCCCCAGTACAGACTCCCAGAGCATGTCCTGAGATAAAGAGGGAGGACTTCAGCATCCCAGGAACCTGTCTCAGGACCTGAGGCCCCTGGATGCAGAGTGCTGTGGCAGAAGGAGCAAACTCACCTATTGGAGACAATCCAGGAGTACACACTTTTCTGATTGATGTCCATTGTGCTCTCATTCTGCTTTAGGAACCGCTCCTGGTGTCCATAGGCCCGGATGACAGAAAGGCCTGACACTGTCTCACCAAAGTGGGAGTAGATGGGAGACCTGGTGACAGAGTCCAGACGCCGCAGCTGGCGTGACGTGGAGATGTAGTAGCGCTGAAATGAGGGACACAGCTCAGTTATCCACACAAACCCTGGCAGCAACAAGGGTACTGCTCCGAGCAGGGCAGAAGCTTCTCTCAAGCCCCAGTTACTCACCAGCACAAAATAGTAGAAGATGCCCAAGGGAACGACAATGATAGTGAAGAATGGGGTGGCCAAGGAGATCATGAGCAATGTGCTAATGATAGCCATGAAACAGGAGAGCCAGCTGCGGAAGGACATGGGAATGGTCTCATCTACTGTGAAGATGTCCTAGAGTGTCAAAAGAAGCAGGGAGAAGCAGTCAGTGACCCCAGAGAGAGGAAGGAACCCAAAGACTTCACACATATACGGTTCATGAGGAACACACGTATTTGTTCATCAGAAACAAAAAGCAACAGGGCTGGCTCCAGGTCCTCCTAGGTGTAGTCAGGTCTCCAGCTGGCTATCTATCCCTCTTCTAGCTGGGTGTCCTGTTTTGGCCCCAAAACAGGACATAGTATCCAGCCATGGCCTCCCTTGCACCAAGCAGAAGAGAAA